GCATCCAAGGAGTAGGGTACCCAAGTGTTCACACATAGGAAATGTTCTCATGGAAAGAAAATCACTATCTGTGGTACAATAGTGATTAATAATTAATAATTAATAAGAGATGTCTCACCAGTAATCATACGTATCATCCCAGTTATCAAAGTGAACGAGAAAGCGATGGTCCACCACATCTGCTACAGTCGCGACACAGACCAAGCAAGGGTTCTTCCTGTCGACAGCTTCCAGCTTCATACCAGCTTCAAACTGTGATGGTGTCACAGTCTGCGGAGGAAATGATTTGAGAAGAATTAAGAGACAGCATTGTTAAGGCTGGTGCTTAAACACGTCTAGTATGTGTCTACTCTGTGTGTCATAATTCATATACTGTATACTGTACAGTCTCTTTTCTGTGACTTGATATTTCTTACTGTAAGTAGAAAGTCGTCTGATCATAAATCTAATTCATGATTTCTCTAAATCTGCATAAGAAACTAGACTACACTGTATTCAGCATCTAGTTTATACAAAAAGCCCAGCCAAATGATCTTTTATTTTTCAAAATATGTATTTCACGTTATGTATTATATGTAGTAGATGTATTACATATTCATTAGCATACGTGTTAACTATGCACACAATTTTTAAAATCACTCAGACCTAAAAACAATATTAAAAACACACAATTATAACATACTGTATACAGTACACACATCTACGGAGACCTTAGTACATTTAGTTTATTTAATATTTGTCAAAGTAGTATCAGTGACGGAAACTGTAATATACCAAATTGCCCTATGAATCTTGCGTACTGTAAATCTCACTCTGTATTCAGAGTGAATAATGTTTTCATGTTTAAACATTTTTCTGTATTGTTTAATTGTAATCTGTGGTGTGGACATTTTAAAAATTATGAGGAAAATGACTTTTCCTAACAATATGAATATCATTATCAACAAGCTGGAACATCTGCATTTTATGCACATAATTCAAACTGATTTTTTTTTTTTTACACTGGTTTTGACAAAGTTGCCAAGGTAGTTCCACAGGCTAGCACAAATGCTTCCAGGGCTGCATGTTCTAATCCCTCCTCTACAGCACTGGGCTCAGTTCCTGGGTGCTCTCTGCATGTACTGGAGTTTGCATGTTCTCCTTGGGGTTGTGTGGGTTTTCTCCAGGTGGTCCAGTTCCACCCCACAGTCTAAAGACACGCTAGTAGAATAACTGGCTTCTGGAAAAACTGGCCCTGGTTTGAGTGTGTGTGTGTGCCTGTGTGCCCTGTGATGGGCTGATGTCCCGTCCAGGGTGTGTCCCCTCTTATACTGTACCACTGCGTGTTGCACGCACCGATAGGCTCTGGTTCCCATGCAACCCTGCACTGCTTAGAAAATGGATGAACGGATGGATTTACAAAACCACAGGGCTCCATATTACTTAATTAATGCTCAAATGGCTACTAACAGCTGTGATGATTTTCACCTTTAGCAAGCAGAACAGAACACTCACAGTATTTTGGTTCTTAAACAGGTTCTTTGGTGCAGCCTGAGCATTACAAGCCTCTAGATACTTTGACCAGTTAAAGTCATCCTCCTTGCAACCTGAAATGATGCAGACACGGAATTACTGTTATTTATTTTACTATAATGCACATACAGTATATCAAAAATAAGAATAAGAATGGTACATTTTGGTGTTGATTTTGTTTGTCTCTGACTAACTGGTCTTTGGCTTTCAAAAAAATCTGTTTCCTTTGCTATGTCCTTTACTATTGCCACTGCAATATCTGTTATAATATAAACCCGAGAACGATTATTGGTTGTACCGCACTACGACGATTTTCAGATACTTATTTTTATAGCTAGCATCACCTTGCCTAGAAATATTGGCTTTTTGAAAATGATTCAATCTTTGTAAAAATTAAGAAAAGGAAATCAAGTTGAACTGAGAGTTTTGTCTGAGTTTCTTTAATTCAAAACACATTCGGCTTTTTGTTAACAAAAGCCCTTATATCTCAGATCATTTTGATTTTAAGTGCTTGTTTTGGTACGATTTTGTAATGATTTGTAAAAAGGTATTCTGTTCAATAAAACTGATTTAGCCAACATAGCAATAAGTCAAATCCCAAACTCATGTTTTTCATCAGAAAGAACCACAAAACAATTAAAGGTTTCAATTTGGTCTGGAAAAGAAAGACAACTTTTAAAGGCAAATTAATTTATCTTAATACAGCACTACATTAAATGTACAGTGTGCAGAGAAAACATTCTGCAAAAAATGAAAGCAATTCCCTTAATGCAATGCAGCTACGTAGTTCATAAAATCCCAGATAACTGCAAAAACCTTAATTATAAAGAAATCATGCGCTTGATAAATGCTATCACTGCATATTTTAGTATTTGTCTCTTTTTTTTTTCCTGTGTTGCTTACAATCTCCTTAAAATCCCCAAATCAGCAAAATAGTTTGCTTTAATGAGAGCTGGTGCTGTGCCTGTAGACGGATACCTTTCGGGGGGTGAAGTCTGCGCCCTGTTGTTTCACACCACCCTGCAGGCCGGATATCAGGAGAATCGGCATTCACCCAGAAGTCATAGCAATCGGAAAACCCATCAAAGTGCAGGCGAAAGCGATAGCCAATCACCTGAGAAGGATATCGGGAAGATGTTGCTTACAGACTGCAAAATATTAAATGTAATAAAAAAAATACCAGAAGACTAAGCTTGTCACACATCATTGAGGTTTGATAACCTTTTCTTTGACTTACTTCTGCGACCGATAGGACACAAAACATAGATGGGTGAAGTGGGTCAATGCCTTCTAATCTCATTCCGACTTTAAAGCCATTTCTGCACTGTGGAAAAGACTGTTGCTGCAACAAAAAAACAAAACATTTGAATAGGAGACCGGACTATTTAGACTATGCAGAAAACTTTAAAGTGTGTATTCAAGAATATAAATAAAGTAATTCTGTGCAATTTAAGGCCACTTTTTGTGCTTGTTTACACTGGGGTGATGCCTCTGTTGCTTGGTTGCTGTAGAAACCGCTGTTTATGCTTCTAAAATAATTGATATCTTATTAAGTCCTGTCGTAGAAAAGCCCATCCACACACTGCATAGAAAGCAGAATTTATTCAAGCATTAATCATTCAGTAATGAGGTCTGAATTGAAGTGGAAAATATGAAAACCCTTGCATGGTCTATCAGATAACTCTAAACCCTGAAATAAAAGATTTCGGTAGGTCTTGGTTGGTAATAAAAAATTAAAACATTCAGCATGTATTTTCTTGTAGGTTTAAACCTACAATGTTTTCCATCTTCTTACTGTATGTTTTATAGAGGATACTTCTTGTAAGACACTTTCTTTGGAGTGCATTCAAAAACAAAAACTATTATAATAAATATGAAACATCCTTCATTATACTGAGGGTTATATTGCAAATAGTGCATTACTGACCACTCACTAGGGTAAAATAAATGAATGCATTTTTCCATTTCAATTAGATTATTAATTACAATAACAGTGGTCAATAACTCCTCCATCCTCCCAGATCAACTCCTTCATATGATGACACTGTACTGTTTTATTAGTAAACCAGTCTACAGTAGATCAACTGGGATTTCAGACATATTCAGTCTGTCAAGTGAATACTGCATACTGGCCATCAGCAATTTCTTTGTTGCATCGCAACAAACAAACACTTCCAAGTTGTATTATCAGGAAAAAATATTTGCAGAACTATTTTCTGTTCCTGTTTTGATTAAACACCCTAATCTCTCTTAGTTCACAAGTGAATATACATGGACAAAATATTGTCTGTTCATACTTTGCAGCACAAAACAAAGCAAGAATCTAAATGATCAAGGCCTGATAATTCTAGTCTGATCATTTTTAGGAATGCGCTGAATAGTTCGGCATTTAATAACCTTATATGACTACAATTAGCCGGTTCTATTCTGGGAGGCTGACGCCTACTGTACCTCTGTAAACAGTTTCACTGGTGCTGCTATGGCCTTCTGTTCCTCCAAATACTGATCCCAGCTCCACATTTTCTTTTTCCCATCCATCCCTTAAATAAATGCAGAAAAATCGTGCCGAATTAACGAGACATTTAAAATAAAGTAGAATAGCAGTTTCGTTCTTGCCGTCTGGTGGGAATGGCCACGTTTTACTGTACCGTATATTCCTCCCAGAAGGTGAAGCAGAGGTGCCCAATTTTTCCCTCACCAGCAGGTCTTATCTTTTTATCAGCATGCCGTACGTTACAGGAAAATGCTGTAATCACGCCATTTCTAAAACTGCCTGAATGATAAGCTGGGTTCCTCTGCTGACAAAACTTTAAAAAACACAAGTAAAAAGTACTGCACTGCAATGTCTTCCTTATCAATTCTTCCCAACCAAAAAACTACGCATTAGGAAACCCTGAAATAGGCGGATGCCTGCATGGACTTCAGCCACAACTTTGAAACGGCTTTCAAAAAAAAATCCCTAAAGATTTTCACCTGTCTGCAGAATATGTGAAATCTAATTCGGCACTCTCCTAGAGCCTAAATGGAGAAAAATGTACAAATACTAAAAAAGCTTACCAAGTGTACAAGACATTTTATTCTTCATTTTTGTCTCCTCATCTCTCGGCCGCTCCTGTAACACAACAAGTTTATTATTAGTCGATTAGGAGATGACAGGGTTTTCTAATTAAGATTTAACAATAAAGAACAAGTATATTAGTTTAACAAAGAACTTGTTTATTAGTAGATGAAAGGATTTTTGCCTGTTTTCTAATAAAGATTATTAGCATTGTAATTAGTATTATTCAATGCTGCAGCAAGACAGTATAAGACTGTAGACGGTATAAGGCTGTAAATCAGCAAAACAGCTCTAATTTGAAAGAGCTTTATATTATGTCATAACTAGAGCTCAACCCGAGTAAATACATCTTATCAATCTTTAGTTAAACCAGTGGTGCTGACAAAGACAAATATGAAAAATACATAAAATGCTGTCTCTTTATAAAAAATGTCTTTGTTCTAGAGGTGAACATTAATAGTTGTTGCTGACAAGTCAAATACCAATGACTGAATTGCTTCATAAGTGATAATTTGACATAATGCTAAAAACACCTGTTTGCAAGAGATTTCAATCCACAAAAGGTGTTGGCACGATTTGTTGAAATCTGAGAAATATGAATTTAAGACTGTGCACAGGGGCACTTTTTTTTTTACACAAAGGGTTGTGGGTGATGGGAACAGTCCCCGTTCCCTTTGAGTCGTATTATCAGAGCTGGCGTTTTTCGAGGAACGGCAGGGTGTGATCCTCGGATCGATAACACACCAAGCTATGAATGTAGCTTTCTTACAATTGCATGCTCTTAAAATTGCAAGTGTGCACAAGGGAGTGGCAGGGCTGCAGAAGCAGACATAGAGCACACCACTGGGGCTCTTTAGTTTGTCTTTTAACTCTGGTTGGCAAATCTTCCTAAGCCTCCCCACTGAGAATGTCTTACATTATCATAGCACAGCATTAGTATTCCTCACATCTGCTGACTGACTAAAATATCCACATACTGTATGTTACTTAAAATGGAGGCCAATTAGTGATAAAAAATTGTCTAAAAATTGACCCTTCAAATACACTTCAAGTAGAAGAAATAAGCATTTTAATAAAAACTGTTACATTTGGAATGTTTCTGAATACAGTGTCAGTCTCACTTTTTGCAGGCAATTTATTATGTCTTTATATACTGTGAATATTCAACTGTAAAAAAGAAAGTTTTATAGCTAACCCTATAACTGCTAGCTGCCACTTTTAGCAGAGCCTAGGAATTTGTCTGCTCTTTTCTTGACAAGTCATTAAGTTCAGAAGGCCTGACGTTGTAAAACTGGGTCAGGGAATGAAAACTGGCAGCAGATTAAATTGCTTTTTCCTTCTTACACGGTACTTGTTTACCAGACAGGGATGCTTTATGCCCAGTTTTTGTTGCGTTTTGTCATCCCTACAGCTCGCCACATATAGTACAGCCATTTCAAGTCAAATTCAGCAGTATACTGTTTATCAGAGGTTGGTTACATTTCTACAAAGTGAAACCTGCATTTGACTCCTTGGCAGAATATACTTAATTTTTTTTTAACTGCTAATGTCAATGACTTGAAGAATTTTCTTTGGTGATTTTCAGCTAACTGTGAGGGTCCTCTTGGTTGATTTATCATGGAATGGCCTGCAAATTCTATGTTTGGAATTGGTCTGGCATTTCTTGGCATTTAAGGTAGATTGGTAGTTTTTTTAAGTACCTATCACTGTACCCTCTCGTACAACATTCTGCATACATAAGAAGGAACTAGTAACATTCAGCTGTAAAACACAGCGATTGGAGTGGGACTGTAATACGTGTTTTCATTATATTCAGTTTATGCACAATGCAGTCCAAAAATATCTTGTCATCTAATACACAGGATTGTTTTTAAGTTAAAAATCATAACGTTTGTATTTTGCTGGTATGAAAAATTTTATAAACCTTTTTCTACTGGATAACTAGAAAATCAGTTTCCAATACAGAATTACAATATGACATACTGTACTTACTCTGAGGCAATATTCATCTGATGACCCTCTGGAACTCAGACTTATTTTTCTTCTTTTCTTTTCCTCACACTGCATGATGACAAGCTGAATGGTACCTAGAAAACACCACCACAGCAGATACAGAGGCATTTCTACACACATAGTGAAATCTCTGCAACATGTTGAAACGAAATGTTTTTTGCTTTTGTTTCTTTGTACTACTTATGTTCGAGAGCTAGCTAAATCGCTTTTCGTTATACCATATACCTGTATAATGAGTATAATGCCAATAAACTTGAACTTGAACTTGAAATGAATTACAATGAACAAAAAAACTGTTGTTTTTTTTGGAGAGGGCTGCTTGCAATACTAAGTAAATGAAGAGCTGTGATAAAATACAGTAGCACTGAATTTCACCATAACTGCTTGTGTTTGTTACTGCCGTCTCATGCCCCAAACCTCTCATTGCTTTTGCCTATCCATTCTATTAAGTGAATACTGAGACTGCACTGCACCCTCTCCGCTACAAGTATTTGGATAATTTTACTCTTTCAAAAGCACTCCCCACATTATAAATTCACCTCCTGTATTAAGCAAAGAAAACGTATATGCAGTCAATATTAAATTAGGAAGGCCCCGTAACTTAATTGCCATTTGTATAGTACTCTTGTTTTCTATTATACTTAGACATGCTAGATTAGAAAGCAGACCTCATTGTAACGCTGACAACAGGGATTTTCATACATTTAGAGAAGGCCTCACAAATTCCACAGTATCAGACAGATACATTCTGTGACAGCATTTGATGTGATTTATTTGTTCAACAGACAGGATGCTACTAGAACACTTTCTTGAACGCCTCGGTAAAAAGATAAATCATGCACAAAGGCTTTAGACAAAAGTGCTACAGGAAACATGAAGAATAAGTCTTTTTTACTGCTTTCTTTTCTTTGTTGTGTCTCTTGAGCTAGGAACACAGTAGTTACATGATTTGTTGCTGACCTCTGATCAAATACAAAAAAAAACTCATAAAATGTATATTGGATTTAAATCGCTTTGGGGGGACGGGGGACCTTTTCCCCGGTGATAATTTGGAACCCTTGCTAAATATAAGATATTTTGTAAGAAGTCATGTTTTACCTCATACCTTTTCTGTTTAATTATGTTTACTAGAACACGAGAATTGTGGAGTCAGTGTGTGGCACTCGTTTATTTCTCTAATTCCCCAGGTCTAATTTTAATTCATCTCTGAGAAAAGCCCGAGTGCAGTGGAGAATGGACGGCGGGACCCTTCTGTCTCACCTAGGGTTTCTGCAGCTCCTCAGTCAGTTATAGTGGGACCTCATTAGCTGGTTTTCCATGGCATTCTCATTTTTCTCTTCCAGACAGACCAGTCTCTACGGCCCTGGAGTCATCGTCTACAAAACAAAAACACAGTCTTGTCCAAATTTCGATGCTTTTGTTAACTTTTTTCTTGGGAAAACAGAGGGAAAATGAAGTCATTAAAAGCACCATTTGCATTAGGAGAATACGTCAGTCCTCTGTTTACTATCTTACACAAGTATATACAGTACAACTCCAGCTTTATAACCACATTATTTTCAGGTTAGTTCATAATGCCTTTATGAGTTATTCTTCTGATCTCATTAACATTATGCACCTGTTGTTATTTATTATAATTTCTTAGGAGAAGAATTTCAGGACTAAATATCACATGATATCCTATTTGCACTTCAATCAAATTGTATACTGGTATTGGCCTAACTGTAACAAATGTATGTTCTTCTTAATTTGACTTTTTGAGCTCAACACATACCGTACTGTATACCCAAAGTCCAGGACAGTACAGATAAAAAAAAAGAATAACCTGCTCTCTCCACCACCAACCTATGACCCAGAACTGGATTTTATTCACACAGACATTTAAAGAATCTCAAAGGAAATCTGAAACATTTTTACACGTAAATTAATCAGGACAGCAAAACTAGATCTTGTATGATAGTTCCCCATACATTCTGATTTTATACACATCTTCATTTTCACCTAAAGAGAAGAACTCTATCAGATTTGAAAAACCATTTGTTCAGTAAAAAAATGACCCTTCTGTATATCAGCTAAAAACGGAGCTATGACAATGTAATTTGCAGTTTTAAAAATTTGGTAAAACACCTTTGGTTCAGTTAGCCAATAGCATGTTGAATTATTTTTCTGTTAAAATAAACTGGTTCATCTACAACATACAAATATCCATCCTTTATAAAATAAAACAATAAAATATAATAAAACAATAAATGTGCAATTTCATACTAATAAAACCCAAGAAAGATGTGAATCATCTTTCCAAAGGCAATAACCACACTGCTGTCAAACTTCATCTTAAAACAAATCCATAATCTTCGACCTTCACAGCTCACTGAATATTTAAGTATGCTATCTCCCAGCTAAAAAGCTCAGACCTGGAACTTTTCAGTAAGAATTCACACTGTGGAGCTGTTTGCTAATGACGTACAGCATAAAAAAAAATCAAATGACACAAGCATTCACATTTTTTTCTGCTTGTATTTAAGGGGAAAGATGCACATTTTAATATAAAGTAACGTACAGAAATATTGTAAGATGCAAGGTCTTGGATTTAAATAAAAAATAAAAATGTAAACGATTTGATTTGATCTGAGACAAACAAGATTAAATGTTTGTGTACAAATCTGTTGATGATTTGCAATCCAACACTGAACAAAATCAAAAACATCAGAAGCTAAAATTTAAATACCGATCAGTCACTTTATTGTCATGACATGCTAAAAATCCAAAAACAAATTAAATGTGAAAAGTATCAACATCATGTTTGTGATATTTGAATTATTTTTCCTGTTTCAGTAAGGCAAAGCAATTGTTTTAGTAACTATTTACGCAGCTTTAACCTATAGTATGTGTAAATTTCTACATGAATCTTAATCAGTTCACAGTGAAAAAAAATAATCCGTATGTGACTGGACAGTGATATCATTTAAAAAAATCCTTCCTAGTGAGGGTTACTGTTTTTAAAACAACAAACGTAAATATACTATATGATGCACTGCATGATATTTGACAAACACCACAGTCTACAGTACGTCTATTACTTAATGCAACATAAAAATGACATGTACAGTACAGTACTATTCTGGTTTCCTCTCAGTTGACAGACTAGATCTAGCTTGGCTGGTGCCTCTAAATTCGCCCATGTGGGTTGTCATGGTAAGAAGACACACCCAGAGTGCATCGCGTCCTGTGTCCCATGTGTGATGGGTCAGGTTCCACAGTCCTATACAACGCTGTATTGCACTAAGCGCTCGTGGAAGAAGGGTGGATGTAAAATCTGTTTGGAATTAACTAAAATGCATTTTTAGAATCAACACGATGTACTTAGAGATGCCCCGCAATTATCTTGCCCAGTCTCTCTAATTGTCCGTAACCTCTAAACATGCCAGCTTAAGATAAATGTGACATCTCAAAGGTGGCTGCTAATGTCTTGATGAGAGGGCACATCAGGGCAAATGAAAGACAGCTCGTAAAATATATTAAAATATATAAATTATATTTTTCTTGTTATAAAAGTAATAACCTCCTGTATATGTTAAAGGTTAAGGTAGTTCTCTAAAGCATAACCATTAAGCACACATATGACTATGTGAAGTCTAAATTGATCCTCTGGTGAAAAAAAGATATTGTCGAGAGGTTAAATGTTGTTCTTAATGTCTAAACATGCACACAGAGACACAGATACAAAAACTACATGATCTGGAAGCTTAAAAACCTAAAAAAAAACTCATCCGAAGGCTGAAATAGTCAAAAACAAACCTACGCCCTCCATCCTTAACAGTTAAGAAACGAGCAAGTGTAAAAAATTGCCCATGTCATGAAATATTTAGCAAATTTTAAACACACCTCTCACAACAAAATGGTAATGAAAGTTGTTCAAACGTCTAACTGCCAAACCTAACCCACACTCTTACCAGAGATGTGTCACCATGACAACTACATTCAAATCAATGGCGACAAAGATATTACAGAATATTGTATCAAAGCAATTGCTTGGGATCCTATTTGCAAAGAGTCCAATCAATCAGTTACTTTGAATAGAAGCAAACAGTTGATATGTGAAATGTTTTAACAATTATAGAGTATATACTACACTTTGGAAGTAAAATAAACTCTACAGATTTCCCTACATTCTTTAAAAGATGACAAAAAATATTATCTTAAACTCATCCAAACCATTAAAAAAAGACCTAGGGAGAACGTGAAGTGATACGTCTTGATTTATTATTTCTTCTAAAACTCATTTAATGTGAGTGTAAAAATATGGTTATTTTTTTCCTTTGTTTTTTAAGAACCCCTCAGAATTTTTTTTATCCCCAGCATCACTACAGTACTTTATCATCGTACTTACAACAAAATTATGTCCTACATATTTGTGTATACAGTATGTACAAATATGCAGTGCAAAATTGTACATATTACATTTTTTGTATTATACGATAGATATAGAAAATATTTCTCCTATGAGTACCATGCCTTTGCATTCTCTCATTCCAACACATAGTAAATTTCACTATGTAGTAAATCTGAAATGATGTTTTCATGATAAGCTCAATTAGACTCAGATTAAACTGACTTGCTGTATGTGGTGGCATCTCAAGGTCCTACCCATCAGTGTATATCAGAATATACACATTTTTATTAGTGATTAAGAATGATCATAAGTCTAAGTGTTATTGATTAGTCTGCAACTACTGACAGTCATCCTCTTCTCACCCTGCAACGTCTTGTTCTTTCGTAGTCCATTATGCTCAACTGCTATCAAAGAGGGCACGGAGCTCAGCACTGCTGCCTCGCAGCGCTGGGACACCGTGTTCACCCTGGGGTGCTGTCTGTGTGGAGTTTGCGTGTTCCCCCTGTTCCAGGGGGTTTCCTCCGGGTGCTCTGGTTTCCTTCCACAGCCCAAAAACATACTGGTAGGTGAACTGGCTTCTGGGAAAGCTGGCTCTCGTGCGAGTGTGTGTCTGTGTGTGTGCCCTGCGATGGACTGGTGTCCCGTCCAGGGTGTACCCTGCCTTGCACCTGTTGCTTTCTGGGGTAGGCTCTGGCTCCCCCGCGACCCTGTATTGGAAGACGCGGGGAATGGGATGCTAAGAAAAGATACTACAATAAATATATATATAAAATATAAAGGAGAACTGATGTCAAAATGTAAAACCTAACCTCCGTATTTTCCCCACTTTGTGTAGCACGCTGCCGGACCTTCTGTTACGCTCTCCATAATTTACTCTGGCACCCAGTTTCAGATTTGTCCAAAACACGGAGGGGAGCAGCTCCTGGAGCCGCTCAGTAAAACGGCTGTCGCCAGCATCTCTGTCGCCCTTCTCTCTGATCTTATCCTCTGCCACTTCATATCCGGCCATCTCGAACGCCGAGGAATCTGACAGCGAGCCTGTAAGACTGCCCTTACTGAGCTTTGCTACGGCTCCACAAGTGTAACAGAATAAAGGACAGGCTAATGCTGTACAGAAAGCAACCAGCACCTTTCATTATGACAGAACCTTTTTTCTGGAAATGTATTGATATTTTACAAACCAGAAAAGTGACATGTGTCATAGGAGTCCTTCCCGACAGACTGTCAAAACAAGTTCCACTGCCTTTTTGTTTGGATTCCTTTTGGAATTAACACATCATTCTGTTAAAGGCATCTTATCACATAACCAGTGAGCATGTCATCAAAATAATGCAGTGTCAAGAGAACGATGGTGTGACTTTGGCGAACCGACGATCTTGTGTCTGAATGACAGGCACATCTGGATAGTCACCATAAATGTGAGAAATCATTCATTAGGATAATGCTGTGTACATCTGTATTACTATTTAGTTATCTCCCATTCGTTAAGATACCTGACAAAAAAGGCCCAAATATATTCACTTTAGAGCCCTACAGCAGTTCCACAAAGAAAAGTTTTAAGTATATGAATCTTTTTTTACTTTTTCCCAAAAAAAAACATCAGTACCTGTAGGAATAAAAATACAGAATTTACCTCAAATTACCTTCAGAACTGAAAGCTGCCATCATCCATGTTCTATACAATAGAAGTGTATCAGCTCTTCTATAAGATAAACATCTGATTATCAGCCGGACGAAATCAGAGAACCTGTTCATTTCATTTTTCAGTCGGCCAGATAATTCAGTTGAGAACAAACTCACTCACAGTGACGGCCAAGAGATCCCTGTATGCCCCAGGGCATCAGCTGAAGCAATCTGAGCCAAGTACCTTGTCTGAGGGTAGAACACCAGTGCTTCACCTGGGATTCGAACCCACGACCCCAACCACCACTCCACACTGCTGCCTCTACTATTCGCCACAGTAAAACTGCGTGTCTGTGTTTG